CATTAATGACACCTCCATTCCTGTTCTGGCAGTGGTTTTGCCTCCTTCCCCAACCTGCAGAGTGTGCAGGTGCTTTCTGAAAAGCACCCAAATGAGCTATTCAGGTTGTTTTTATCATTGGCTTCTGTTGTGAGTGCTGACTCTTGGTGCTTTGTCAGTTGATACTCAAATATGAGAGAGCTGTCTTTCTGCACTGACAATGTAAAAATATATTCTTGTGCTTGCTGTGGGGAAGTGATTTTACTGAGACCATTGTGTGAAAGACTACTCATTCTAGTATTGAGGTTGGTCTGCTCATGAAATCGCCGCCTTCAGATGCAGTTAGATTCCAGTCCTCTGTAAAAAGGCTATTCTGTGTCTTGACCTTTTTTGACTGTCAGAACTAAAGCTTCATTACAAGATAGCTATTTTGACACTGTCCTGCCATTGCTTGCATTGCCTCATCATCCATTTCAGATTGGCACCTTTTCTGATTGCAAGTTTTTGCAGATCCATAGGACATAGAGCTCTCTGAAGGAAGCAGCTAGAGCCAGCTGTTCCGAGACTTGGTCAAGTCAAGGAATAAAAGCTAGCAGTGATAAATTTTAATTCAAAGAAAGATTCAAAGGATGGACTTCCAGAGAAAACACTTCTTTTTTTTTTCTTTTTTTCTTTTTTCTTTTTTTTTTTTTAAGCGTGAGGAGCCTCAGTCTTCTATCAAAGCTATCTAATCCATCAATGTATTCAAACTTTGGCTGAGGGAAGATGGCAAGGCAGTAGCAGCCAAGAGTAAAGAATCAGGAAAAATATTGCTGTGACACTTAGCAAGGAGTCAGGAAAATGAACATGTGCAGCCCTGAGTGGTTAGGCACTCTGTGATGAGCAGCTGGGATGAAAGTGAAATGGCATCTGCAGTTACTGATGAATTCAGATATACCACATTATGTTCAGGATGTGACTTAGAGTCTCAAATTTGCCCTGTTTTGTTTGGGTTTGTCTGAGTTCCTGCTGCCACTGCGGGGGATGTGTCTGGCCCCTGCAGCAGGGAATGGAAGCGTCTTGCTGCATGCTTACCTTAAACCAGTAGGCTTTGGAGGAGTATTGATATCACTGTGTCAGTAGAACTTCTGGAGCTCGGAGCCGGCACTATGATTTCTGCTCACTAGCTAGCTGAAATTCTAATTTGCTAATGTAGGCAAATGTTTTCTTCTTTAGATTTTGTGTTTTAGTCTGGGGTTTATTTGTCTAACCGGAAACAAAAGTGTTGCTGCTTGCAGAGAAGTGTGGAGCTTGACTTGAGAGATCTCAGTTCATGGAGGAAAAAAAAAAACAACAAAAACAACAACAAAAAAACCCACCTAGTTTTGCTGTCATCCTCCATAATTCAATTTCATATTGCTGTCTTCTGGTTCTCATAGGCGAGGATAAATGAGCCTTTACTACTGCCTCTGGAGGTTTTACTTTCTCATGATTTTCATGGTGCCATGTTTCTGTCACCTATTATCCTCAAACCAATAACTAACTGAGTAAGGTAAGACGACCAAATCACATCCTGGTGAAGAAATAAGGACTGAAGTGAAGTAAGGCTACAGTCAAAGCTTTGCTTTGTCTTGAAGCTATTTGATTACTATTTGTATATTAAGTGATCCATAAAGCTAATCAGTAGTAGACACCAGGTAGTGAGGGTGGCACAATAACAGTGCTAGTATAAGTCTTATACAGCAAGATAGGCTGACTTCAACCTGAGATCTGTCTAACAATATTCACATGGATAGAAAACAGCTCTGAAGATGGCTGGCAATTTGCTCCTGTGAAGTGAATGGTGAATTTCTGAGTTGAGGATGAGATGGCCAAGGCTCGGTCAGCTGGCTGACAGGGAGCAGTGCAGCTGCATGGCAGGAGCTGTGCTCCCATGAGGGGCAGGGAGCTGGCTGTGTGTACTTACATTGTCTGATTCTTAGCTCTCCCTGGTGAAAACTTGGCACCCACTGTGTTTTTCTGGCCTCTCTCTAAGGAAACATAGAAAGTTTGAACTTGGTGTTTGGCTGGGAAGAAGTCCCATTTTGTAAAAACTCTATGAATAGTGTGATTCTATCTTGATGTAACTTATATATATATATCTTTAGTAAGTTATGAAACTATCCACTACTGTGAAGTTCATTTTCACATGATTTTAGTTTCTGGTGCATGTCTGTCTTTATTTTCATATGTATATAATGTCCACTTGACAGAACTACAGTGTGCATGCAGTTGTTAGGAAGCGTTTCAGAATTTCATTCTTTTACTGTATTCCACACCACTGAAGCTGCACAAAAGCAGGCTTTCCTGTCATTTGTAACTCTAACACAAACAATAGTAATTTCTCTGCTTCAACAGACTAAAAAAAAATAATTATACTGTTATTGAATAAAATAATCTATTAACAAAAGGCTCTGCTAAGCAACGTTTCAACCCTCCCCCCCACTGATCTTCTGTATTTCCCACACCTACCATTGTTTGAGGTATCCTAAAGAGCTTGCAAGAACAAAAAGCCTGTTTTTAGAAGCTAAGTTTTCCTTCTCAAAGTTTGAGTATTCTTTCAGGGAGAGAAAAATACTACACTTATCCTTCTGTTGTTGATCTCATTAATGACAGAGGTTTAGAAATATTAGTGATTAATGCATCTATGCACTAGTCAGTTTGTGGCTGACTGGATTTTATCCTTGAATAATTCAAATAAATTATTTGCCTGTGTTGCTGGAGCATGAAAAACACTTCTAGAAATTGAGAGATTCATTTGTACCTAGATGGTGGGTTTTCTCATCTGATTTCTTTCTGGAGAGGTTTCAGCTGAGAATTGAGATGTGAATGAAACCTTTAGTAACAGCTATTTGTAATTATTGTGTTCTCTGCATACTGAGGTAATTTTTAATACAGGCTTAAATAGGGGTTTGTATTTGTTAACTTTTCAAAGTGAGGATTGGTTCATGGCACAGGCTTTGTGTGAATAATACTGGCAATTCAGAATAATAGCCTAAGGCCTTCGTGTTGTGGCCTCTTTCCAAAATAAGATATGGAATAAAATTTAAATGATGATAATTCTGTGAAATCTGATGTTAGGTTGGCACAGTGTAGATGGTAATTCTGAATTGTGTGTTACAAACATGTAACATAAAAAGCTGGTGGTTCTTCAGGGGTTCAGTTGGCTTTTGGGAATGAGGTGCGTGTCAGCGTGAACTTTAAGAGTATCTTCTTTGCAAAACTGTCATGGGCTAAGAAACAGTGTTTCCAGGGTCAGGAACTTTTTTCACTTTCAATTTCACTTAATGGTTTGTGCTGTAAGCTCCTGTACTAGAATGTCATGTTTTCCGCAGCGATAACAAAAGCTAACTGCCATCAGATAAACTTGAAGGATACTCATTTTTCTTTGAAACGTACGCCTTGCCTATTGTGTTGTCACACTATTTAATGTATAATGCAGCTTGTAGCATAATGCTGTCACACATGGAAATAAAAAGACTGTGAGCTGGTAAATCTGTCACTTTGTTTGAGTTCAGTGGGATGTAAGGCAGCACTGGAGCATAGGAGGGATCTACAAGTACAGCAGGATGAATGATTATGGTAAACTTTGGGCATCTTATTTGAAATTTTCTTCATATTTATGTATACAGCAGAAAGGCAGAGAGAAGACAATTAGGTTTTTCTTTTCTGTTTTATCTGTAATGATTTAAGTCTGGAAAGAGAATGAGTGAAAAGTTTGACAGGTGGTGGTAGAGTGAGAGTCAGACCTGGAGTGGGGAAGTGACTTGCACAGAGGTGTGAAAATGGTGTTAGCCAGTGGGCTGAGATGAGCCACTGAAAACAGAACTAGGAACCCTCAGCTGCTGTGAGAAATGGTACTGGTGTCTGGGATTGCTTTAAATAAATAAATGCAATTGCTCTGCATTCAGTTACTGCTTAGCATGCGGAAGCAGCTTTCACAAATGGCTTGTCATAGGGCTTGAAGAGAAGACACATCTTGATCGAGTTAGTGCAGTCAGTCAAATGTAGGCTCTGGCATGAGAAGAATTGGCTGTTACTGCAGAAGGGAAATATGGACATAAAGAGCTCATTTCTGACCTACCTTATAGAGCAACTGAACAGCCTCTGGTTAGCGAGGGCAGCATGTGAACCTTAGTATAATGCTCCATTAATACATGTGACTGCTTCATTAAACTTGTTGCTATGACAGAACAACTGGGCCATTTGGTAATGAAAGCTGTTACCATGTGATGGACATGATAACAAAAGGTCAATTTCTGATGACCACAAAGCAGTCTCTTGCCTGAACCTCCTTTTTAAGAGACAATTGGAGAAAAGCTATGATGATTCCGATGGATTAATCTCTGAGAGTGCTCAAACCACCCATGTATGTAACCAAACCGTAAGATTTTCAACTTGCAGGTTACATATCGGTAGTGCATAGCTATACAGTATAGTATGATGGGGAACACAGTTTCTTATCTGCATTAATGATGTATTAGTCAGTGTTTTAAACTAGCCAGACAAGTTTAGAATGGGAACATGAGTTCTTGTCAGATGATATCAAGTCCAGTGATTCCCCCCTCCCCTTCCCTCCTTTCCCCCATAATTCTCAACACCTTAAACTCCATGGTGTAAACACACTTGTTTTGCATTGTTTTTTTTTAACTGTTATCCTTTCTTATATCTGTGTTATTAATACAAGGTGCTTTATGTCCACAGCTGCAATCCTATATTCTCTGCAACAGAAACAGCAAGTAAGCAAGCAAAATAGCTGCTCTGCCCTTGTGCACATGTCTGCCTTCCTGTGAACTTGATGGAAAAATACTGTTACAGAATAAGCTTGTTATGAAAAAGAAATACTATCATTAATAAACATTCTTATTCCTGAATGAATCATACTCATGCTACATAAGTAATCTAAGTAACACTTAAGTTGTGACTTGATCATTTTTGCATCCCATTTTCTAATGTACTCTTTATTTTATGCTCTTTCAGGTGAAAAGTTAGCTACTTCACATCAGAGAACATCAAAAAGCACTCCTTCTGGTAAGAATATCTGATTAATTCACTTGTAATATAAAATGTAATTCTCTGACATCTGACACGTATTCAGAAGGTTTTATTTTCATTAACTGCATTTTACAGTCCCATCTCCTTTGGTTCCTTTGTTTTCATCTCCTCTGCTTTTGGAATTTATTTTGCAACTTCTTCATGAACAATTCCATAAATCTTTCTGCAGTCAGTCTGTCAGACAGTTACAAGCAGCACGAGGCGTTCGAAATCCAGGGGTTCCAAGATCTACCTGTTCTTTATCCTTCTGTGCCTTTATTCATTCTGTGATGTTTTTGGCATCATTAGTGGTGTCAAATTTGAGTGTGTTGCCTTAGCAAACAAAATATAATAATGAATTTGCAATGGAAAAGGAAGAGATACGAGACATCTTGCTAACTCTTCTAGATGTTGTCATTTAAAGAACATTCTGCAGGGATTTTTCAGTAATGTCTGATCCTTTCTCTATTCAGGAGCATGTTATAGTTCTGGTTCCTTAGTAATTACATCTTACACTTATGACATAATTACTTTCAAATCTGTTCTATTTTCTGTTCTACGTTTTGTGCAGTAAACTTTATGTGTAGTGTAGTGTTACTGCATTTGGCCATGGTTCAGCAGCAAATAGCACTTGAGGATTAAGGTAATGTGAAAATGAAGTATTGATGTATCTGTTCACTTTTTTCTTGCTCTGGAGAGCTGAAAGCTGGCAAGGGAATTTTGTGTCTGACTGAGGGAAAATTAGTAATGGATGACCCTGCAACAGACTGGGCTTTGTTTGGTCATGTTTTACCAGAGTTAAGGGTTGTAACTGTTGTCATTCTTGTACTCGCTCTTTTTTTTCGTTACTATTTGATTTTCAAATACTAAAAAATCGCATTGTTTAATCCAAATAGAGATTCAACTCTTTCAGTTGCTTGAATCAGAAGAGTAACTTGATTGAATAACAGAAACAGCTGTTATACAGAAAAAACATAACCACAGAACTGCCTCTGAGTGTGTAGCCCTCATACTTAGCTGAATTCCTTTTCTATAAAACAACTTCCTACACAGCACATCTGCTGAGCGGTTCAGTACTTCAGTGTGTTTTACCAATTCTGACAATGTTTATTTAATGGAGTTTGGTTGAAAATTCACATGGTGTGAATTTTAGAGTTACTAGGATGTTCTGGATATGTGATGTTATGTATTTTCTATTGATGATTTTCAAAGTGTAGCTACTGATTCAAGTTCTTAAAAACAGTGTGAGGAATTCTGAAATAGTACACATCTCTTCCTTTTGACTACTGTTTGCTTATAAATGGAATAATTCAGTACTAGGTGGCCATCATGGCTCACAGAAGCCCATATCAAATAGCTGTGAAGCATACATGCAGTTCTCCATGAAGGGAACAGTTCTTGAATTCGTAAGTTAAAAGGGAGTTACGCTTAGAGAGGTGAACTGTTCCCTCCTAAATACATGCCTACGTACATCGATGTACATCACAAGTGCACAGCATATGAAATCAGGTTTCAGACACATCACTATCTGCCAGATATTGTTGTAAATAAAATCTGAACTAGAGGAGTTCAAAAAATGGTAGTGATGGTCTTTCAGTGAAAATATTTATAAGAAATAGCATGCTATCTATTAGATTGAAAGGGCTACAATTGAAATGATGGAGAGAATTAATATATACTACTTAATTTCCAAATGCTTTTTTTTTTTTTTTTTTTTTTTTTTTTTTAATTTTCTGGGTCTATAGAAGCTTTTTCATGTGTTCAGAAATGGAGAAATTGGATGCTGACCCTAAACAACACCTGATAATTTAAATGTGCAGGTTGGAGGGTCCAGTTTTTTCATTTTTCCTGTGCTACTGACAGCAAAATTTCCATTTCTTTCTAATTTGTCAGTGTAGGAAAAAGGTGCTTCCATTTATTTTATTTTTTTTAATGACTGCATTTGTTGACTTGTGTTGGTTGATCTCTATTTTCGTGCCCATTTTCTATTAGATTCACAATTTATTCAAAAAATACAAATAGTTGTCCTCACTGGTGCTGCAGCCTACTTAGTCTGTGGGAAGGCTTGTGTTTTGTCACATTTGGGGATGACCTGATGTCTTTCCCACCTGAATTATCTCATGATTCACATAAAAGTACAATTCAGTGGACTTAAATTTTAAGGAACAGCTTGCCAGTAATCATGCCAGTCTGAACTGTACTCTTACTCTAAGAAGTTCAAACAGGATTCAGCTTGATCCAATGAGTGAATGTGGCACAAATGGGAAACTTGACACTTTTTTCTCAGTTTTGTAACTTTGGCAATAGAATTAGCTCAAGTGCCTGATCTTAAGTTTGGGGGAATTACATTTATGCACTTGGAAAGATGCTAAAACTTAATCTTAAGATCCTTGCTCTGTTTTCTGATGAACAGTACAGAACTGAGCTGGTCTGTAGTTCTGTATTGGAGATATAACTACCAGTGGTCACAGGCTGCTTACAAGTCTATAACGTCAAATAAAAATAAATGAAGCTACTTGGAGAGTCATGTATTTTTTCTTACTGTCTGTTCTTTTTTCTTTTTAATTTAAGATCTCTATTGTATCCAAAATACCAGCATGCTTTCTCACAGCAAAAAGTAGTGGTGAAAGCACTATATATATTCATAATTTACTTGAAATAACCTCTCAAAAACACATAAGTAATTCTTCAGAATTACTAAATTTGGGTAAGGGTTCAGACTGATATCTCTTAATTTAAACCAGTATAAACTGCTTTCCTTGCAGTTGAGTTTATGAAAAGAAAGTCTTTATTCCCTTTCTTCTCTGACAAAATTAGTAGTCTAGAAAAGTCTGGCTTGAGTGTATTTCAGTGACGAAGTTTGTATTTCTTCTAATTTCAGTAAGTGCATTAATCTTGTACTCCTTCACCACCATTCATCCTACAGCCTACTATTACAATGAACTGACTCAGTCACAAGGCAGAACAATTCTGTAAGATATGTAAGGAAAATGCAGGAGCCACATCATATGGCACTGATGTTCAGTCGGTCGCCTTTGGAACAGGGAATGGCAGCTGTTCAGTGGTGTGCTCTCTGATCACTGTGTCCAACCAAAGCTTCATTCTGAACGTAGGGAGCTGAGAACATAATTATGAGTACTGGCACTTGGCTGATGTGCTTAGATCAATAATGCTCTTTAAGAAAAAGGAACTGGAGAAATTCTTGTCAGACAATAGTCAAAATCTCATGTGCTACTTCTTAAAAAAAAAAAAACAAACACAAAAGCAAATGAACAGTCAGTCCTTCCCACCCCCTCAAAAATAAAACCACACCAAACTAACACGTACCAACCATGAGACTGTACTTTCAAATGACAGAGTCAAGTATCGCCTGCTAAATAACTGATGCTCCTCTGCGTTACTCAGGTATTGATTTGAAGTCTCTCCAGTATTGACTGAACTTAGCTCACGATATTTGAGGTGAGCTGTAGACACAGAATAAACCAAAATGCTTAGGATACTTTGGAGATAAATGTTGATATCAGCAGGTGACATTTTATACCACTGTGATTTAAATCTATCACAAATCATTTGGAATTAACAAGAAAGAGTAAAATGTGGAATTATTAATAGGATATTGAATGAGAGAGCACCTGTTTGTCCAGATGTTTGTTTAGATAGATGTTCACCCTTCCACTAAATAAAACAATAGCTTTGTGTTTATAGTCTTAAACTGTTTTCTTTCACTTGTGGAAGGAAAAAAGAAAAGAAACCCGTCTTAAAACATCAGGATTGATGCAACTCCACTCAATTGAAAGTGGTGAATAAAATACCATTTCCATAGAAACAAAATACTATTTTCCAATGGGGGGGGAATGGTTTTTGCGCAGGTTAGCTATTTTTGTTCTTCATTTCAGCGAATTATTAAACTGGACCAAAGTTAAGAACTTACGGTTCTACTCTGAAATGACAAGAAAATAACAGTGATGCAGAAGCATCTTGGCAAGGGACAGGTGTGTTACAGAAGCAGGACATGTGGCTGGTTTCTGCCCTGCCTCTGTTTGATGGATAAAGTAGCAATGCATACCCTGAACCAGAATGTTTTGAAGATGTATCACAGGAGCTGAAACGGGGGACAACTCCTAATGGAAATACCTGCTGGGTCAGCAGGGCAGTCTGGGAAAGTTTTTATAAAGCTGGAAGCCAAGCTGATTCTTCTCTGGTGAGCACTTCTTTACCTGTACAAAAAGAGCAGCTCCCAGCATGGTGCATCAAGGCAGAGACCTACTTTTTGTGGCTTGCACCACATCTCCTAAGAGCAGTATTGTCAGTGTTGTTCACTGGACTGATTCTGAAGTGCTTCTTTCCTGTTATTTGAGAGTGATTACCTATTTTAATTACAGGAAGAAGGAAAAACTCTATTATAAGGTGATTTTCATACTTTTAAAAGCCAGGGAATTATTGTGATCAGTGTGATGGATGTAAATATGTAGGTGCATCTTGCCAACTACATGTGAAGCTGAAGGGCTGCCCAGTACTTACTGGGCTCCTTAAATCATGCAGGAAATGAATGCATTTTTCCTTTCAGAAGAGTCAGCAGCAGCTCAGATTCTGTAGGGTGAGGCGGATACTGGAGCTGCAGTGCATGTTTACCACTCTTATGTGAGCCAGAAAGTGCCCAGTTGCCTTTAGTTTTGAGATTTTTACCAAGAATATGAGTTCCTGGTCATATTTAGGGGAATGCTTTTGGGTATTAGGCATCAGACAGGACAAGGGGTTGCACTTTCAACCTTTTTAAGAAAAATAATCTTCATATGCTGTGTTGATGAGCAGCTTCATAACTCATTCGGGTTGAATGCCTTTCAGTAGGATTTCTATTGCTAATGTTAGTCTCTTGAAAATCCCATCTCAATAAGTTTGACATAGTTTCAGAGTTCTTTCTGTAAAATGAAAAACTTTCATCATTTCTGATGACTAAATTCCATAGAAATGCTTCCTGATAAAAGAAAATAGTAATA